ATGTCCAGCAGAAAATCAAGTTCAGTTTCAACCCGGCAATAGCCATAACAAGCAGGGTCTCGGGATGACATGGCTCAATGTTTTGTACTCGGTCATTAAATCGAGCAATATAGTCCTTGACGCTTTCATCGTCTTTTTGAGTTACATTTGCAAGGGATTTTTTTGGAACTAAACAAACTTGGGCCCCAATGAAGTGAGATCGGAAAGCCGACCTCAGCTGTTACCACTTCCAAATTGAATGAGGGGGCAAATAGTGGTACCATTTTTGAGCTCGAGGCCCCAGAGTAAGAGAAAACATGCGACACCGAAGTGTGTCTGAGGCCCCATGCAGGTCCATCCACGATGTGTAATGACCGAGGTGTGAGTCGGGATCCGAAGTCCCATCGTATAATCCGATTTGAGGAACTTTGATTTTTCCGGGTACAGGTTCCGAAGTGAGCTCAGGCGTGAGAGGGGAGTCGGCTTCCAGATATACTTGTGCTGAGGTCGAGGCCCGTCGAAGAGGATCTTCGGGCATCCTTTGCCGACTCTCCAATTCGACGATCCTTCGTCGCAACATTTCAAGTTTGGATGATTCTTGGCGAGCTCGGTTTCTTTCAATGTGTTGACGAAGGTCGGTCTGCGCTGGGTTAGAGGGGATTCGGTGTCGTGTATTAGGTGGCGAACGCCGTGAGTGTCCAGACTGACTCTCGGCGGTTTCTTCACGAGGAATCACAAGGGGAGTACGCCCAACGTCGGCGTGACGTGTGGTTTGTTCTAGGTGCGGCTGCGACGTTCGACTGCGAGGTTAGACATGGCGTGAGAGGTGGTTCTGCCACCGTCTTGTCGCGCTAATGGAATCTGCGGATTAGCGGGATTCGTGGGTATTATGGAATGTCCTGGTACAGTCGTTGATGTTCCAGGGATTGTTTGAGCCATCAGAGCGGCGAACCCACGTGCAAACTCCAGATTTTGGAACAGAATAGTATAATCTGGTATATTGGGGGCTGCTGCTTGGCGTCTGGCGGATTGAGCGGCACTACGACTGTGGCCATCTCGCGATGTATGAACACCACGATGATT